CCCTACCGAATCTCTCCAAAGCCTAAACATAAACAAATCTCAACGAAGCGTATGTTTCAATTCGATTTTGATTTAAACCGGATGATCCAGATTCGTTTTGGTATATTTTGGTTCGATTTGGTTCGCGTAAACCGAATTGAATAACTACACGAGCCTAGTGATAATTATGGTACAGATCGATTCAGCTACTTAGAAGATTACAAGGATCGATCAGAGAAGACGATGAAGATCTTCCACGTTCCTTGTCTACAAGACAACTACTCTTATCTGTGAGCGATTTTCGTGTCTTTCTTCAATTTCTTCTTTCTCGATTCGTTTCAATCATCAAATTTTGGATCGTTGTTTCTTTTATGGGGCAAAAAACAGGTTAATCGATGAGAGCACCGGAGACGCGGCGGTTGTGGATCCAGTTGATCCGGAGAAAGTGATTGCATCCGCTGAGCAGCACAGTGCCAAGATCAAGTTCGTACTCACCACGCATCATCACTGGTAAGTAACTATCCACTTCTCTCTAATCAAATTTTGATTCATTTCTGAGATCCCTTTGGTTCCTGTAGCTCAAGGAAATTTTGGGGTTTTGAAGCATATAGTGAGTGACCAATGTTTGATTTTGATCCTGGAATCACTAGTTTCAGAAGTGCAATTCTCCTTTGTGTTTCTCAGTTTTGTGAACAAATCTTGCGATTTTCTGGGATTTTCCACCATTTTAGCTTTACCGTATTGAGCTGAACTAGTGATTAATTGAGTCATTGTTGTAAGTTGGTGCATGTTAATGCTAGTCCTCGTTCAGTTTCAGATGTTTGGATATTTTTTCAAGTAAAGGACATCAAGCTTTCACATCTAGAAGCTGAAAGGTTCGGACTTTTACGGAAAATAAGGAACTAGAAATTATGTGGTCATGTGTTTAATTTGTTTCCCTAGTATGTGATAGATCGTGGTTTGAAGCGACATTTCCATTTTACCGGGCATTCTCTGATTGCTGGGTTGGTTTTTCCTTGGAAGGGATCATGCCGGTGGGAACGAGAAGATTAAGCAGTTGGTGCCTGGAATCAAAGTGTATGGAGGTTCTCTGGATAAGGTTAAGGGTTGCACTGATGCGGTCGATAATGGTGATAAGTTGTCTTTGGGTCAAAATGTGAACATATTGGCTCTCCACACCCCTTGGTATGTTCCGTTTTATGAGTATAGATGCATCTAATCTAACTTTGATCTTATTGAATTGGTCATTTTGCTCTTGTTTTCGTTGATTCCTCTGATATGTTACTGCATGTGTCAGTCACACCAAGGGTCACATTAGTTATTATGTGACCGGCAATGAAGGGGAAAGCCCAGCCGTGTTCACAGGAGATACATTGGTAAGTGGTAACATAAAGTTGGATCCTCTTGCTCTATAAAGATCAAGAACTGATCGTACCATAGACACTATTTGTCCCCCCCCCCCCCCCATAGATCTTCCTGCTATTGTATGTTTACATGGAGACAGTTCCAAGTTAAAAAGGTGCTTGAGAATAAGATAATGAATTTCGACTCCAGTTCTTTTTCCTTAAACTTTCGACTCATGGTAATGAATCTATGAAGGGTTTCACAGTAGTCACACAAATCCTCCCCACTATTTGTCTTATGTCCTAACGAGTCATGACTATCTGTTAGTTACTAGTAGTCTAATTCCATATAAACATTGTCTTTACTTCAATTTTATACAGTTTGTTGCTGGCTGTGGAAAGTTTTTCGAAGGGACAGCTGAACAGATGCATCAGTCGCTGTGTGTGACACTGGCTTCGTTACCTAAACCGACACAGGTTTACTGCGGCCACGAGGTAAAAAACAATAGCTTTAATATCGTCTTTTGAGTTCTTAACTGTTAAAAGGGATGTCTATAAACTGAATAACCCGCTATTCCATTTCTTACAACTCCTCAGTATACCGTGAAGAACTTGGAATTCGCTTTAACTGTGGAACCAAACAATGAGAAGATACAGCAGAAGCTATCATGGGCCCGTCAACAGCGCCAAGCAAATCTTCCCACGATCCCTTCAACACTAGAGGAAGAGCTCGAAACAAACCCATTCATGCGCGTTGATATTCCAGAGATACAGGTTATTAATTCCATCCGGTTCACGTTCATGAACAAGGCTATAGAATACTTTGTGTGCAGACTCTTATTTATTCGTTTTAATGCTCAGTTATCACTGTTCTGTAACTCATATCAATCTTTACTCATTGTCTCATCTCCAGATCAATTTTTTTATTTTCCAGGAGAAGCTCGGTTGCAAATCGCCGATCGATACACTCAGGGAAGTTCGGAACAAGAAGGATCAGTGGAGAGGCTGAGAAATGAAGAGCTTCTTGCCTAAATGCTTTTTATGTCTTGTGGTGAACCTGTGAAATTGTGTTTGAACTTCGAATCGGTCATGTTTATATTCTGTGTGTTTTTATCA